GGTGAGAGATCATGGGGTCTCCTCGGTAACCAAGTCCATCCCATAAATCTTGGCCCTGGGCAAGCAGCAAGTGTTCATGCTCAGAAGGTACAGCCTGCAGTCTGGGTCCAGATGCTGGTTTCTGTCCATTAGATCTTTCAAACAGCCTTTTGGGGAAGCAGTCTCAGGCCCCATTAATTAGAACGTCTTGAAGGTGATCTCATTTGCCAATTCTCTGCATCAATCAAAGGTCAGCTGCCACCCACAGCTTGCTTGATCCGTTCTTTGGTGGCCATTGTCTCGGTGACCCTGCGCATTCTTCAGTGGACTGTACCTGAGAGTAAATTAAATTGGCTGGGCGTTGTAGAGACTGGTAAGTGAGCTCCCACCTGGGCCTGGAACCCAGCATGCCTGTTTGCCCCCCCACCTCCTCACCCCCCCTCCTCCAGCAGGGCCTGTCTCAGCCTCACAGAAGGGGCCCTGGTTTTCCATCTGCCTTCCCTAGAAAGCCTCATCCTGCTCTTTAAGGCCTATGCGGCTATGAATCTGGACGTGGTAGTGCACACCTGTAGTCCCAACCACAGGGGAGGCTGAGGCCAAAGGATCACTTGAGCCCAGGATCCAAGGCCAGACTGAGCCAACACGGCAAATGAAACAGTGGAAGGCCACGTACATCACACAGAGTCCACTGACATAATTATTTTAAGGTGCACCATGTAGCGGCATTTAGTACATTTACAATGCTGTGCGACTGCTACCACTGTCTAGTTCTAGAACATTTTCATCACCACAAAAAGTGTGTGTGTGTGTGTGTGTGTGTGTGTGTGTGTGTGTGTATGTGTGTGTGTGTGTCTGTCTGTCCTAGGGATTGAATGCATGGCCTGGGTGCTGTCCTTCAGCTTTTTCACTCAAGGTTAGTGCTCTACCACTTGAGCTACAGCTCCACTGTCAGCTTTCTGGTAGTTAATTGGAGAAAAGAGTGTCATAGTTTCCTGTCTGGGCTGGCTTTGAACCACAATTCTCAGATCTCAGCCTCTTGAGTAGCTAGGAAGCCCTAGCCCATTGAATATTGTCTTCCTATCATTTTTTTTTCTTTTTTTTGTTGGTTTTAGGGGCCTGGGCGCTGTCCCTCAGCTCTTCAGCTCAAGGTGAGCACTCTATCTCTTGAGCCACAGTGCCACTTCTGGCTTTTTCTGTTTATGTGGTGCTGAGGAATGGAACCCAGGGCCTCATGCATGAGAGGCAAGCAGCTACCGCAGAGCCGCCTTCCCAGCCCCTCTTCCTATCTTTTAATCATAGAACTGTCCCAATGTCTAGGGATGGACTGTTCTGGATACTTGCAGATTTCATGTAAATGGAATTGTAGATTTGTTTGTTTGTTTTGTCTGTTGTGGGGCTTGAACTCTGGGACTGGGCACTGTCCCTCAGCTCTTCAGCTCAAGGTGAATGCTTTATCACTTTGAGCCACAGCACCACTTTGGTTTTTTGGTGGTTCATTGGAGAAAAAAAGTCTCTTGAACTTTCCTGCCCCGGCTGGCTTTGAACCACAATCCTCAAATCCCAGCCTCCCAAACAGCTAGGATTATAGGCGTGAGCCACTGGCACCAGGCTGTAGATTTTTTTTTTCCAGTCCTGTGGCTTGAACTCAGGGCCTGGGCGCTGTCCCTGAGCATTTTTGCTCAAGACTAACACTCTATCACTTGGAGCCATAGCACTACTTGGGCTTTCTGGTGGTTCACTGGAGATAAGAGTCTCATGGATTTTCCTGCCCAGGCTGGCTTTGAACCTCAGTCCTCAGATCTCAGCCTCCTGAGTAGCTAGGATTATGGACATGAGCGCCCACCTTAGAAAGTATAGTCTTCGTGCTTTTCTTCAGCATCTCTAAGGTCCTCCCATGCGAGGCTCGTTCAGCTTCATGCTGGGCCCCGTGACGGAGCGCGGGTGGGGGACAGACATCTCAGAGCACTTGGCTCTGACTTAACTTCCCGTGTTTGTTCTTGTTTATGGGGATGAGCAACAGTTCCCGTCTCTTGAGCTGCTCAAGTATTTCTTGGGATGGTCTCAAACCATTCCTGATGGCCCACGTGAGTGGGAGGCTGGTCCCGCGGGGGTCCGGGCTGGGCATAAATCATTCAAGCCCTTGGTGGCTCAGTGTCTTGTGACTGTGTGGACGCCCGTCCTCAGGAGCCCCGTGCACCCCGAGCCGGCGCCTCCCCTGCTCTGCGGCCCAGCAGAGACCCGCGGCTGGTGCTTGCCGCTGCTTCTCTTTGTTGCTTGCGGCATCTTTGGGCAACACCCCCCCCCCCCAAAGGGCTTTATCTCTGACTATGCCTTTGCGTGACACCCTAATTTCATACCTGGCAGAAGTATAAAAGCACCCACATCTGAGTCTTGCTGGCCTTTCCCTGTGGGTTCACGTATTCCCTGAGTTCCTACGGAGGGATGGAGGGGGGTTGGCTGGAGGGCAGGAGGAGGGTTTTGTAAGAGGGCAGGTGCAGATGCAAGATCCAGTCTGGACACAGGCTTGTTCCCAAGCCTCAGTTTCCCCATGTGGAGAGGAGATGCTGGAGTTGGAGCCAGCACGTTGTCTGGGAAGACTGGCCACGTGGCCCCCCACTGGTGCTTTTGCTCCCCAGACCATGGGATGCATGGAGAGTGGAAAGGGAAGAAGACCGGGCACAGCCAAGCGTCCGGAGCCCTGGGCTCTGATCCCGTGGCTGGCCTCGGAGGCCCCAAGCCGACAGGCCCGAGCCGGATTCCCCGGCCAGCGTTCAACAGTGCGGAGTTTCCATAGCAAACATGTGGCGAGTTCAGATACAAATAACCCCACTGAGACCGCGCCTTCTGGAAACGGGAAAAATACGGGTTATATCGAGTTCAAAAAATGGGGACTCCCAGCAGGGGGCCTGGGGAAGTGGGGGTGGCTGGGTGGGGCCGGGGGACACTGTGGTGTCACGATGGGGGTCACACACGGGATTCTCTGGGCCCCCCTGCGTGGGCAGATGGCGGCGGCGGTGCAGTCTGATGGCAGCAGCCTTCCAGGCTCCCCTTCTGTGGCCCTGATGAGCTCGGATCGACTCTCCCCTCCTTCCTGTGCCCAGATTGGGGGGGGGGGTAGGGTCTGGGTTGGAGGTTTTCTTCTGGGCCTCTGCTCCCCCACAAGTTGGGGAACTGGGTTTTTTTTTGGGGGGAAGGCCTCTGCTGGTGACCCCAGGCCATGGAGAACTTCAAGCATGGTTCCACAGGCCCCTTGGGACCAGCATGAGCCGCCCCCCCCCCCCCATGTCACTGGGGAAGGCTGCTTCCTGCTCTTCTTCAGAGCTCCCCACACCCTCCGGAGATGCCCCAGAGGGGTGACAAGGTACTCAGGGGACCTGCTGGGCAAGAAAGCCTCCAGGCTTTGCCCTGGCTGTTCCAGCTCTTCTAGTGCCTCCCCCCCTTGTGAGCCCTCCAGGCTTGCTCAGGCTCAAGGCTCGCTCACTCCTGGCCTCCTCTGACCCCTTAGGCTGAGCCCCTCCTTCCTCTGGGCCGGTAATCCCGCCATCAGCCATCAGCGCTTAGCTCGCTGAGTCAGAATGATTTGTTTTCTCCTCTCTTCCCCACCAAGGGAGAGTCTTCGGTGTCTGCCCCTCCCCCTCCCACCAACGAGCCCTGCCGCGGGCCTGGCACAAGGCAAATGTTCAAGGAGTGGATCGCCGCAGGATCTATTTGTCTAGAGTAACCACGCATCTGCGCTCTGGGCCTGGCCTGGAGAGTGAAAGAGTCATTGATCCCAAGGAGATGCAGCAGGACACTGGCAGCCCCAGTCAGATGGCAGAGGGGGATCCTGAGCCTGTCAGATGGCAGAGGGAGCACTGGCAGGGAGGGGAGGGCAGGGAGAGCAGAGTGACCCTGGGAAAATAACCTCTCTCCTCTGAGCTTCAGTTTCCTCCAACTGTAAAAAGGATTCAGAGTGGCCTGGCGCAGTGGCTCACGCCTGTAATCCTAGCTACTCAGGAGGCTGACACAGACTGCACCGAAGCCAGCCCCAGCAAGGAAGTCCATGAGACTCCTTTCTCTAGTTAACCACCGAACAAGCTGAAGTAGAGCTGTGGCTAACTTGCTAGAGTACCAGCCTTGAGAAGCTAGAGGACAGCCACCTGGCGCAGAGTTCAACACACTCAGAGCGAGGATCTCCCCTTGGGGAAAAGAACTCATGGATGCAAAACGCGTCCCGCTGGGAAGGTGGCTCAATGGTAGAGCGCTTGCCTAGCATGCGTGAGGCCCTGGGTTCGATTCCTCAGCATCACATAAGCAGAAGTGGTGCTATGGCTCAAGTGGTAGAGTGCTAGCCTTGAGCTGAAGCAGCTCAGGGACAGTGCCCAGGCCCAGAGTTCAAACCCCAGGGCTGGCAAAACAACAACAACAAACAACCTCCCCCCAACCCAAGTCCAGCTCGAGTCCAGCCTGGAGGTCCAAGACCGCCCCCCCCACTCCTCCAGCCCCATTGCCCACCTCTTTCCTACCACCTCACCCCTCCCCATCCCCATCCCCCGCCCGCCCCTCTCGCCCTGCCGCGGCCCCGACCTGTGCGTCCCCTCCCCCCCATCCCCGCGCGCGATCCCCGCGCGCGATCCCCGCGCGCGATCCCCGCGCGCGATCCCCGCGCGCGATCCCCGCGCGCGATCCCCGCGCGCGATCCCCGCGCGCGATCCCCGCGCGCGATCCCCATGCGCGCCCGAGTGGAGGCGCAGGTGTCGCTGCTTCCGCTCCCGGGCGCGGCCCCGCCTCCTCCGCCTTCGGCCCGCGTCCTCCTCTAACCTCGGGTCTGGACTGCGCGGGGTTGGGAAAGTTTGAGTCACGGTGGGGGGAGCGCAGGAGGCGGGCCGTGGCCCTGCACGGGTGGGCTCGAGGATCCGCCTCGGGCTCCCATTAAGGGCGCCCCGGTCCCCCGTGCGCCCCGGTTCCCCGCGCGCCCCGTCCCCCGCGCGCGCACGCCGGGCCGCACAGGCACCGCGCCGGGCACCTCCGCGCCCCTCACCATGCCCGCGGCGCCGCTCCTGTGGCTGCTGGCGACGCTGTCGGCCGCAGCCGCCTCGTTGTCCCCCGGAGCCGGCGCCCCCACCCTGGCCTTCGTCTTCGATGTCACCGGCTCCATGCGCGACGACCTGATGCAAGTGATGGACGGCGCGGCGCGCATCCTGGAGCGCAGCCTGAGCGGCGGCAGCCAAGCCATCGCCAACTACGCGCTGGTGCCTTTCCACGACCCAGGTAGCGCCCGCCCTGCCGCGCCCCGCCCCGAGCCCTGCGCCGCCCGCCAAGGCCTGTGCGCCCAGGGCGCACCGCACCCGCACGGGGACGTCCATCCGCGGGCGCGCTGTCCAGGCCGGGCGCCGGCTCCGCACGGGCTCCACGGGGGCCCAGGGCACCGGGGCAGCCCCCCCCTCTCCTCTGGCACCCCCGAATCGGCACTGCCAAGCTCGTGGCACAGGTTTCTCACCTTCCTGGTTCTCCATTTCCCCCCTGGGCAGTTTGCATTTTCCCTTTACTTTTTCTTAGAATCCACCCCATCTTGGCTCTGGGAGGCCAGGATGGCCTCAGAGGCCGCCAGGGTCTGGGGCGAATGGGGGTTCACTCTGGGTTCCCCAGAGGAGCAGCTCCCTGCAGCCTGGCCCCTCACCTAACTTCACTCAAAAAGCAGCAGCGGTCCTGGGGAGCCCCAGCCACCGCTCACTGCAGCTCCCCACAGCAGCTCCTCCTGCAGACCGCCCCAGGGCAGCCCCTGCCTCTCAGTTCAGGTGAGGGGCACCCCTTGAAAGGGTCCCTCCCAAGCTTCTCCAGAAACTTCGCTGGGAAATGGAGATGGAGTGTCCTTGAACTGAAAGTGCCCTTTTCCTTCTAACATTCTGTGATTGTGTGTGTGTGTGTGTGTGTGTGTGGCACACATACTGGTATCAGAACTCAGAACCTTTCACTCTCTTGAGGCTTTTCCTGTTCAGGGCTGGCAGGCGCTCTACCACTTGAGCCACTGCTCTTCTGCTAAATGGAAATGAGAGTCTCTTGGATTTGTGTGTCAGGATCCTCAGATCTCAGCCTCCTGAGTAGCTAGGATCACAGGTATGAGCCACTGTGCCCAGCATTATGTTGCTGTTGGCTAGGTTCCCTCTCTTCACCTAGCTCCTCTCTTTCCAGAGGATGACTTCAAAAAGAAGGCAGGCAAGCAGACAGGCAGATAGACAGACAGACAGACAGACAGGCTCCATGGATCCCTGCGAAAGTCGCCGTGTGAAGAGTTTCAGTGGGGTGAATTGGTCCGTGAATCACCCGTCACTGGACAGATCCCCAGTGTCTGGGCTGTGTTGCTGTCAGTCAGGGCTTGGAGGCTGCTCTGCCTCCAGGAGAGCTGGACTGCTTTGGGCGCTTCAGTTCAAAGCCCAGAAACCAGAGCTCTAGAAAATTCTGGGTATGCAAGAAGCAGCCCTCACTCAGGGTGAGGGTGCAGCAAGCCTGGGCATGGTGGGGAGGGACCACATGTGTGCGTGTGTGTGCATGCCGTGTGTGCATGTGTGCATGCCGTGTGCATGTGTGTATGCTGTGTGCGTGTGTGTGCATGCCGTGTGTGCATGTGTGCATGCCGTGTGCATGTGTGTATGCTGTGTGCGTGTGTGTGCATGCCATGTGTGCATGTGTGCACACAGATGTGAATGCATGTGCATGTGTGAGTGTGTGAACTGTGTTCTGGCTCAGTCTCTAGCCAACCTCCCATCCCTCCAACTCTCTCCAGCTTTCTAGATTATACTTGGGATTTCTTTTCTTTTTTTGGTTAGTCATGGGGCCTGAACTCAGGATCTGGGCGCTGTCCCTGAGCTTTACCGCTCAAGGCTAGTGTTCTACCACTTTGAGCCACAGCCCCACTTCGTTTTTAAGTGGTTAATCGGAGATAAGAGTCTCAAGGACTTTCCTGCCCTGACTGGCTTCAAACTGTGATCCTCCGATTTCAGCCTCCTGAGTAGCTGGGATTACACGCTGGCGCCATTGGTACCTGCTTACTTAGGTTTCTTAAGATGTCCTAGAAAGAGAGTTTAGAGGTCACTTGACACCCCGTACCCAAGAGCCACGAGTGGTGAGACTCCTGGCCCCCGCCCCACAACCTCATCCTCACCCACGGCCTCGTGGGCTCTGAGATGCTTCATGGTGGCTCAGGACGGCAGTCCTGGGAGCCAAACAATGTCCCTAGGTCCAGGCTGGGGCCGCAGGGGCTTTCCTCACTGCCCTGCTCTGGCTGTGAGTTTGGGGGGGGGTCCCCACACTTCCTCTTCTCCCTGGGCCCAGGGCTGGTGCACAGCTCTCTAGCCTTCTTCAGGCTCAGCCTTCCCGGTACCTCTCCCTCCCCTCCCCCACAGAAAAGCCCACATCGCAGTCATTCCCCCAAGAGGGGACCCCCCCCCTCCTCGGGGCCCACATCGGGCATTCCCCCCCCCACAGCGGGCAGTGCCCCCCCAGTGGACAGCATGAATGCTCTTCTGAAGAGCTGGCAGCCTGGGGGTGGGGTGGGGAGGGTGACATGGTGACAGCATCCACAGTGGGTCGTTGGCATTTCGGCGCCTTGTCTAGCATAGGTGCTGTTGGGCCGGAGGAGTTTCTGGGGTGCTGGGTGGGGGTTGGAGGACGGGTGATGGGGAGGGGGAGGGAGGGAGGGTCTGGAGCTTTGCCGTCTCCTTGTTTGGGCAAAGCTGGAGCCTGGGTTTGGATCTGAGTCAGCGAGTGGAAAGGAGGCTCAGCACTCAGGGTGTGTGTGTGGGGGTGTCAGGGTCCCGCAGCGCGAGGCGGGGGGCGGGGGGGGAGGCCAGCAGCCTGCCAGTGTGCAAAATGCAATGTGGCCCAAGGAGAAACTTGCCAAGCAGCTCATCTGGTTGGAAACGCACAGGGTTTCCAGTTTTTCTGTAGTCTAATATTGAGATTCCCTGAGTGCGATCCTCCTCCCTCCGTCCCTCCTTCCCTCCCTCTCTCCCTCCCTCCTTCCCGCCTTCTCCCTCCCTCCTTCCCTCCTTCTCCCTCCCTCCCTCCTTCCTTCCCTCCCTCTCCCTCCCTCCTTCCCTTCCTCCTCTCTCCCTTTCTTCCTCCTTCTCTCCTTCCTTCCCTCCTCTCCTCCCCTTTCCTTCCACCTCCCTTCTTCACTCCCTCCCTTCTTTCCTCCCTCCCTCCTTCCTCCCCCTCCCTCCCTTTCTCCTTTCCCATCTTTTCCTTCACCATTATTCCTCTCTTCCTTCTTCCCTCCCTCCTCTCTATTATTTCTTTCCCTCCCTCCCTCCCTCCCCTCTCACCGAGAGTCTCTCCTGGGGGACTAAGTTCCCTGGTGGAATTCCTCAGCCATTTTTGGGGGCTGTTTTCTGGGGTGAATCCCACCAGACTTTGAGGGCCCATGCTGGGAGTTATCCTGGCCCCAGACGGCCTTGTCTGTGCTGCTTCTCAGCAGTTTCAAGTACTAAGTAGATGTGTGTGTGTGTGTGTTCTCCTTTCATGAATTGTGTTTATTTCCTGATTTTATTTATTTACTTTGTCAGTCATGAGGCTTGAACTCAGGGTGTGGGCGCTGTCCCTGAGTTCTTTTGTTCAAGGTTAGTGCTCTGCCACTTCCAGTTTTCTGGGGTTCATGGGAAATAAAGAGTCTCATGGACTTTCCTGCCTCGGCTGGCTTCGAACCACAATCCTCAGGTCTCAGCCTCCTGAGTAGCTAGGATTACAGGTGTGAGCCACTGGTGCCTGGCTTATTTCCTAATTTTTATTTATTTATTTAAAAAAATTTTTTTTTGGGTCCGGTCGTGGGGCCTGAACTCTGGGCCTGGGTGCTGTCCCTCAGCTCTTCAGCTCAAGGCTAGCGCTCTACCACTTGAGCCACAGCGCCACTTCTGGCTTTTTTCTTTTTGCTTATGTGGTGCTGAGGAATCGAACCCAGGGCCTCAGGCATGCAAGGCAAGCGGTCTACCCCTGAGCCACCTTCCCAGCCCTTTTAAAATTTTTTTTATTATGAAAATACCATACAGAGGGGTTGCAATTACATGGGCAAGATAATGAGTACATTTCTTATCAAGCATTGTTGCCTCCTCCTTTGTTTCCCCTTCCCATCCCTTCCCATGTCCTGCCCCCCATATTCCCCTCCTTCCCCCCCATCCCCCTGGCCAAAGTTGTAAAGTTTGTTTTTCCACATAACTACTTGTACATCTCATTGTTGCAATGGGTCCACCTGTATCCCCATTTAAACAATTTGTTTTTTCCCTTCCCCTCCACAAATTCTACCAAAAAAGTATTCAAATGTTTTTTACTTTCATGCGATTATTTCTAACATATTTATAAGATGATTTCTTTGTTGCTTTGTATGTCCCTCCCCCATGACATAACCCCCAATTTTTGTTTTTATCTTAACTTTTAAAATCAGAATTGGAATGGGTTTCTTTCTAGTCAGTGCGAGTTCGTTGCGTGGATGCTGAGAATCGTTTTTTTGGTGCTTTGTATTTTCCCTGGCCATTTGGCTTCCTGTGCAGTTTGTGCGTCCTATACGTATCTTTGTGGAGAGATTTTTTTTCTTTTATGATTTTCTCACTTACAGGTTTAGAAAAGTGTTTTCTTTTTTTTAAAAGTTCTATCACAAAATCAGATAGATATTCTGGACATTTGTTTTATTTTTCTCTCGTACAAACACCAGTAAACTTCTGCAGGGTGGCTGGAGGGCACGGGGGGGGGGGGCACAGTGTGGTATGGGGGTGTGGGGGAGGGCACAGTGTGGTATGGGGGTGTGGGGGAGGGCACAGTGTGGCATGGGGGTGTGGGGGAGGGCACAGTGTGGTATGGGGGTGTGGGGGAGGGCACAGTGTGGCATGGGGTGTGGGGGAGGGCACAGTGTGGTATGGGGGTGTGGGGGAGGGCACAGTGTGGTATGGGGGCATGGGGGAGGGCACAGTGTAGTATGGGGGTGTGGGGGGGCACAGTGGCTGGAGGGCACGGGGGGGGCATGGTGGAGGGCACAAGTACCTTCGATGTGCTTGCCCTGTCTTTCTTGTTACTTGGATCCTGTTTTATCCCAGTTACTTCATTTCCGGGGAACTGGTCCAGGCTTCCATGGTGTGCTAGTTCCGGTGCGGGGCACGCTATATTAATGACTAAGAATTATAATATTACTAATGGCGTGAAGGATCCTGCTTCACATTACTTTTTGCCTGTTATTTTATTTGTATTTTCTTTACATTTTTAGAGAATTGTTGCTACCCAGGTGA